GTGTGAGTTGTCACTGTCTGTTGCCCATTTTTCTATCAAGATTTTGATCTTTTTTACTTCAGTTCTTTTTTTTTTTTCATTTTTCTTTTATTATTCATATGTGCATACAAGGCTTGGTTCATTTCTCCCCCCTGCCCCCACTCCCTCCCTTACCACCCACTCCACCCCCTTCCCTCTCCCCCGCCTCAATACCCAGCAGAAACTATTTTGCCCTTATTTCTAATTTTGTTGTAGAGAGAGTATAAGCAATAATAGGAAGGAACAAGGGTTTTTGCTGATTGAGATAAGGATAGCTATACAGGGCATTGACTCACATTGATTTCCTGTGTGTGGGTGTTACCTTCTAGGTTAATTCTTCTTGATCCAACCTTTTCTCTAGTTCCTGTTCCCCTTTTCCTATTGGCCTCAGTTGCTTTAAGGTATCTGCTTTAGTTTCTCTGCGTTAAGGGCAACAAATGCTAGCTAGTTTTTTAGGTGTCTTACCTATCCTCACCCCTTCCTTGTGTGCTCTTGCTTTTATCATGTGTTCATAGTCCAATCCCATTGTTGTGTTTGCCCTTGATCTAATGTCCACATATGAGGGAGAACATAAGATTTTTGGTCTTTTGGGCCAGGCTAACCTCACTCAGAATGATGTTCTCCAATTCCATCCATTTACCAGCGAATGATAACATTTCGTTCTTCTTCATGGCTGCATAAAATTCCATTGTGTATAGATACCACATTTTCTTAATCCATTCGTGAGATAGCATAGATAAATGGGACCTCATAAAACTTCAGTTCTTAAGAATCATACATGTGTTTCAAAGAACATATGTACTCCTAGCACTTTATCTGTGGTGTATACTACAAATACTTTCTCCCAGTTTGTATTTTGCCTTTTAGTTTTGCCTGTGGTATTTTGCATCAAGCAAAGGTGGTGTTGTTTGTAATCTAGTCAACACTGTCAGTCTTTTATTGACTGGATACTAACAAAATCTTCCCTGTACTTAGGTTCTAGAAGATTCACTCTTGTTTTCTTATAATAGTTGTCTGGTTTTGTATGCTTACATTTCTATCTCTGATCAGTTTGGAGTTTATTCTTGCTAAAATTCTTGAAGTTTAACTTTTTCAAGTGGCTATCTTACTGTAGTACACCACTTACTTAAGAATCCGTGTCCTAAATTGTATGTTCTCCCTCATATGTGGACACTAGATCAAGGGCAAACACAACAAGGGGATTGGACTATGAGCACATGATAAAAGCGAGAGCACACAAGGGAGGTATGAGGATAGGTAAGACACATTAAAAACTAGATAGCATTTGTTGCCCTCAACGCAGAGAAACTAAAGCAGATACCTGAGATGTGGTTTTATCATATACCAAATTCCATATGTACTTCAGTTTATTTTTGGACTTACTATTATTGCATTCACAGGCTTATCTGTCTGTTTGTGTTCTGCACTGTTATAATTAAATAGACTTATAGCATGTGTTAATATCTAATAAGACTAATGCCTCCTCATAGCTTTTCTTTCAACTTTCCCTAGTTATTTCTGTATGTTTATGAGCTATAATATCAAGCAGTCTAATTCCATAAAAATTGTTGGTATTTTTATTGAGATCACATGAAATTTATAAGTTAACCTGGGAAAAGTTGACACCTTTTAGTGTTAACTTGTTCTGTCCTTGTATAAGGGGTTCCTCTTTATTTGTCTATTCTTGCATCTTGATAGTGTTCAAAATTTTTCTTCATGAAATTTAGTACATATTCCATTAATTTTTTTTCTTTAAGTATTTTAATTTTTTTTTTTTTTTTTTTGCCTGTACTGGGGTTTGGATTCAGGGCATCGGATTTGCTAAGCAGGTGCTTTACCATTTGAGCACTCCATCAGTCCTTCTTTAAGTCTTTTAAAATGGGATTCTGTTTGTGATTCTCTGAATAGTTATTTTGTGTGTGTATAAGGGCAATAGATTTAGCATTTATTTAACATATAGATTTCTATATGTTAATTTATATCCTGTTATATGTGATTCTTTTGTTGTCAGAGATCATTTTATCACTGATTTTCTCTGCAAGTGGAGATGGTTTTACTGCTTATGTAATTGATTTCGCTTGACTGACTGCATTGGCTGATACTTCCAAATAAAAATTAAATAGCATTGATTATATGCACACACATGCATAGACATATTATGTCCATATATATTATATATTTTTAATCATATTGAAAAGTAATTTCCTTCTTTTTTGTGTTTTTAGGATGCTGAATGGTGTCAAAAGCTTTTCAGCATATACTAAAATGATCATATGACTTTTCTCCCTAGATTCATCAATAGGATGCCTTATGTTAATGCATTTCCTCATGTTGAGCAGACGTGCCTCCCTGTAAGGCATCTCACTTGGTCATAGTGTAATATTTTCTGAATGTGTATTACTAATCTTAAGCATGTAAATACCAAAGGTCTACAGCAGTGTCACTCACAGGCAGTATTCCCTAAAGCACTTACTGAATTGACTTCTGCTGAGTCACAGTTCAGAGCAGGGTCACAGTAGTCTGCTGGATTTTTGTTTTGTTTTGTTTACTTTCAGTGCTAAATGCATGCTAGGCAAGCACTCTGTCACTGAGTCACCCCCCAGCCCAGGACTCTGCTTTTAACAAATCCCTCAGAGGTGCTCCTTAAACACACTGAGAACCACTGGTTACTACATGGTTCGATGTGAATTTTTAATCAGAAATTACTGCAAAAAATACTTACTTTACCCCCACAGATTTCCTCCATGATTCCTTTAAATAGCTGCTTTGTGTCTTCAAGTTGTAGGTTGTAGGTCACAAGCCAGCTGTGGATGGTACAGAGAAATCAAAAGCTTGAAATACTATCTGTCACTTGAATACTTTTCCACTGATCCTTTCACTCATTTATTCAACCTTTTTGCTTTTCTTAGTACTCTGCAAGGATATGGATATCAAGCTGTGAAGATCCAGTGCCTGTACTGTTGTAGGAGAAATGGAGGATTATATAAATATTTATCAAAATTAGGCATCATATTAGAAATGTTTTCCAAGAATTTTATGGGCATAGAGGACTTCAAAGAAGTGTTCTAGATCAGAGACGACTTTAAAAGGGGATAACATTAACATGCAGGGGAAGAAATTAATTTCCAAAAATCTCATTATATGGAACTTTAGATTAAACTTCAAGATTAGAAATGACTTTTCCATACCATGCACTAGTACACAAACACATCAACTCTTGTCCAACACGGCTGTATAAGATCACTCCTATACATCTGAGCAAGGTTGTCTATCTATGGAAGAAGCTCTTCGTGTAACCAATGAATGAGTTTCTTTCCAAAATATCCAAACAGTGATAAACAGAAAGTTCACTAAACAGAGCATGACTTGTACTGTCTTCCTGTTAGAATTTGTGACAGTTTGGTTTCACTCCATTTGTTCTTGTTATCAGAACTCACCTATCCAGGACAGCTGCAGTGTGGGAGAGAAACCATAATATTCTGTGGCTAACACTCAAGCCAGGATAATGATTATGCATTGGCCTGGTATGGAATCAATTTCTTTGTCACATGAATGGCCTTCACTTTAAGGTACAAACCTGGTACCTCTTGCTCTGCAGAAAATCCCCGTAAGTCAAATGTAGTAAGGGTCCTTCATTTCCTCATTTTGATGATCTAAAAGGGGAAGGGTCTTTAAATTACCAGTGTTTTTACTTACCCAACAGCAGTCAAATGTAACTGCTGTTGAATGTGCTTACACTGTGTGACATCAGGTGGCTTCAGCACATACCCTGTCTTTGACTTGAACTGCAACCCAGTCAACTGAGATGGAAGCTGAAGTCACATTGATGTCTTGGGTTATCTGTTCTGCTTCAGCTTTAATCATCACTTTCCACTGGTGGTTAAATCATGAAAATAAAATTTTTTTAATTCATATCTGAATACAATTTTTGGACTGCCTCAGGAGTAGGAAGACAGAAAACATTCCAATATGATTTTTTTAATGTACAGCCATCCAACAATATAAAACTCCCCACATAGTGAAAAAAGATCCTGGGTGAATTCTGAAATGTGTGTGTATGTGTGTGTGTGTGTGTGTAGTATATTATATTATAGTGTGTTCTAAGCAGCCTGTTTAAGTTTGTTTTGAAAAACAATAAAGTTTAATGTGACTTTGTTAAACATAGTCATATTGAACCCAAGGCCCAAACTCCTGGGATTCCACATGCCAGGTCCAGCCACTGCACCTCTATATGCCAAATAAAGAGGCATGGCATAGGCAGAGGAAAGAGATTTATTACATGACTGGGGACACGCTGTGGGAAGAGACATAGTAAGCACTCAGCTCATCTTCAGCCATCTTCGGGGTACAGACATGAGCTATAGGTTTAAGTAGACAAAAGAACTGGGGGCAGGGGCCAAAGGTATGCATAGTTAAACAGTCCCAGTCCCAGTCCCAGGTGTGTTCTGGTTGACCATTATCTCAGTCTGAGGGTTCCTACAGAGATTCTAGAGAAGTTTTTATCACTGTTATCACTTGAGGGGAGCAATCTGGTTCCCATGAGATGATTACTCCTGCTCCAGGGTGCATCTTCATCATTATAGGTAATTGTCCTCATTTGGAGAGTGGTCTGTCCTGCAAGTCTTCACTATTCCTTACAGGAAGTTTCAGTCCCTTGTCATAAAGATGTTATCAATCATTCCTGGTCCCTTTTTTTTTTGGCTGTATGGGGTTTGAACTCAGGGCCTCACGCTTGATAGGCAGGCACTCTATCACTTGAGTCACTCTGCCAACTTTCCCGTCCTTTCTTGATTTCAAGGTGGCTGCAGGAGAGAATAGCTCAGAACAAAGGACAACAGGTACAAAATGGAGATGGGGTGCCAAGCTTTTCTCATGTGTTTAGTTAATTCATGTGCCCAATTAAGGAGTCAGTGCCTTGCAGCAAAAGCAGTTTAAGCACCTCTTACAATATTAATTTTAGTAATCTCTTTTTTAATTTACAGTTGGTAATCAGTGGATAAACTACATTTCATTCTGTGGTCTTAGAACACACGCAGAGCTAGAAGGAAATCTAGTCACTGAACTTATCTATGTCCACAGCAAGCTGCTAATTGCTGATGATAACACTGTCATTATTGGTAAGTATGTCCTAGCCAGTTGGCTTATCCCATGCCTCACTCTTTCGTACTGCTTTTCTTGTACTTCCTGTGCAGTTGAGAGAAATACAGTAATATAATATATAACATCTAAAACATTTCTGCACGGTCACTTTCTCTTGCATCCTTTCTAAAATCTATAAAGAATCAGAGATGCAGTTCAAATTACAGTATTCAAGGCAGTGGTTTAACCCAGTAATTTAATAACCTTCCTGATCTCATTACCTTCATTATTCCCTTATTTTTATTTTGAGTCCAAGTTTCTAGATTTCTGAGGTTGGAGGGAGCAAAGTGGGCAGAGAAAGTGTATCATGAAAGAACACTTCATGGTAATTTGTATGTGTTTACACCACATCTGTGTAACCATTACCATAAGCCGGAAGGTATGTCAAAGTCAGGTGGATATTAAAATATTGCTGCCGATATGCTTGCTGTTATTTTTCTGATGTCTGTGTTTTGGGTGTCTAATCAGGGTGGAGCTGACCAGCTTTGTTGGTGTGTGAGGGGGTTGTGTATTAATGATGTGATGTAGGCCTATGCTAAGGTCAACAGTCTTTTCCTATCAAGGATACACAGTGAATTTCTACAAAGGCCTTTTTCTGCTGACTCAGGAGAGAGGCACCAGTTATACATTCTACTCAGATCAAAGCTACTTGGCCAGAAAGGTAGATGTTTGGCTTCATCCCAATTTTATACACACTGAAAGCTTTATTCAAACATCATTGAATTGTTTTGCCTTTTAATAGTGTGTTACATTAACACTGGAAGACCAGGATGAGAGAGAGAGAATTAATAACCAGTCAGATAACTGAGTTGATGAGGGCAAAGGCATGTTGCTGGGAGATATGATGTAGCCTACTATGGGGAATTCTGCTCATCTGTTTTAAATAAAATGTCATTTCTCAGCTGCAATAAGAAAATTCCCTATTCTTTAAGAAACTAAATGTCATAAGTGTTATAAAATTTTTTGGCAGTTAATATGCCTTTTCCATCTCTGTCCTCCACTGAGAAAAGAAAATCTTGTATCTAGAAGTAATGGTATTGTCTTGTCTGGAGTTTGATTTGAAAAGAAAGGAAAAGTAGTTCTGAAGCCAGAAAATGTGTAGACCACAGTGTATGTATACACACCACACACACACACACACACACACACACACACACGAGTATGGAAATAGCACTGGAGAGATTGATGCTTTTACTATTTATGCAGGGCATTTAAGAAAATCATCTTTTCTTTTTTCCATTCACTGCTCTTTAGAGATTTGTTATTCCATCAACACACAATGTTTCTCTTCTTTTCCCCAAGCTGTTCTGGCCTTTTCTTCAAAAGCCATCCCCAGAATATTTTTATATTAATTTTGGCAATTGCAACAGGAAGAGAGGAATATTGATGTTTGCTGAAATGGTAAACATAAACATAGTAAAATTCAGTTGATCTCTTTTGCAAGATTTCAGAACTCTTGAAGTAAAAACTGGCAGATGTAAATATTTTCCTTTGAAAGGTCGGTTTGACTTTCAGCCCCCTTTACTTTACATAAAGTGTAAATGCAAAGCAGTGTTCACTCACAGAGCTAACAAGTTTGTTGAGTTTTTTAATTGGCTTGTTTTCCAGAAAGGTCTCCGAGTCCTTGAAGGCTATAGTTTATTTAGGCTGCAAATAATTGATCTGTTTTGCACAGAATTCTTATCAACTCTTTTGAAACTAAAGATGCAAGAAGGCCTGAGACTGTGAAGAGGGCTTGCCAGTCCCTGGAGACTGCATTTCTTTTTTATCCTTTCCTAAGGGCATTGCACCTTAAAGAACAGATTTCTCCCCAGGAGATTCTCCCCGGTTCTTTTGTTCATTTTATCACAGTGGAAAAAAAAGAAAACAGGGTTGTTGTGATTTCTCTAACATGTCAGCCCTGTTTAAGTTTATAACACAGGAAACAATGTTTAAAAGTCCTCAGAACAGTTTGAGAAGTGTCTTGAGAAAGTCACTGGGAAGGTATTTGGAAAAGAGGAGATTTTCCCAGGAGAAGAAGGGAACTCTACTCAGTTTTGCAATCCTCCACCGAAAATCCAGGAACTTGGGGTAATGATGAAATGAATTTAAAACAACCCACAGAGGAGGCAGGCAAGGTAGCAGGCCATCAGAGATTTATTTAGTGGAGGAACACACAGCAGGGAGAGAAGGAAAAGGAAGAATAAGCTAAGGCTCAATGGGCAGTCTTCCTCCCAAGGGATTTATATCCCCTAAGTAGGCTGGGGTTTTCCAGTGGTCACCTGGGTGTCCGGTCACATAGCAGCTTGCCAGTTATCCTGTCTTGTTACCATCACCCAAGCATGGAGACAAGGGTCTGTGATGGCATCACAATCAAAAGGTATCTTCTCTTTGTGGTCTTGTTTTAGGTATTTTTCCTGGCCACAGATTTACAAAAACCAGGCACTTTCTATTCTTAGACTCACTCACCTGGGGGCAGCATATCTCCCATTTAACATCGAAGAGAGACAGAGAGGGTGATGGAAGGAATGCAGATCTGTTCGTTCTCCAAAGCTGATCAATTTCTTGCTGCTCCGGTGATTTTTCAGCCTTAGTTCTGGTCTGCCTTAGCTCCTGGACCCACTTATTATTATTATTTTGACATGTTTCCTAATTTTTCTATCACCTTACCCTAGCTGTCCTGCCTCAGGAACATTTTAGAGGCTGAGTATAGTGGCTCACATTTGTAATCTCAGCCACTCAGAAGGTGGAATTTGGGATGTTCTAGGTTTGAAGCCCCCCTCAGGGCAAAAGCAAGACCCTATCCAAAAAGTAGCTAAAGCAAAAAGAGCTGATGGCATGACTCGAGGAACTAAGCTCCTGCTATCACGCTCAAGAAACAGAAATCAAACCCCAAATACCACAGGAAAAAAATTTTTTTTTTTTTACAAATGTTAAGTAACTATTTAAGAGCTTAAAGAAAGCAGAAGTAACTTGTAATTAATTTTTCTAACATGCAAACTTATGCCAGAATTATCGAGTGACTGACAAAAGAAAGATTATACTAGTTTTTAACCCTAATATTTTCCTCACAAGGAAATATTTATTCTCTCATAAATATCTTTTTTATATAGGTTTGATTACCTGATGCCCTGGGTAGCCCTTCTAGTTATGAAATCTGTGACCAAATCCAGTCTTTTCATCTGCTTTTAACTTTAGCACTTCACTAAGATAACATCTACTTGCTCTCCTGAACAAATCAAGGCTGTCTTTTAAGTAGAATTTAAGTGCATCCTGTTGGCTAAGTGAAACAGTTATTTCTTATGCTTCCTAATCCACTGCAAAGCCCTGTAGGGAGAAGCAAACCATGAGTAAAACATTCGTAACAGAGGGCTGTGGCCTTCACGGAGCTCATGAGTAGAGGAGAGACAGGTGTTTCTTCTCCTTCTCACCAGAAATGCCAGCGTGGATACTGCTGGATCAGCCAACGTGGATGGGTGGGAAAGCTATGAGGGAGCTATGAGAATTAGTATTTTTAGGGAAGCTTGAGAGTGGCACATAGGGTTTATAGTTGAAAGTCTTCCCTGGTAAAGAGGGATCATACTTATTTAAAAAAGATCTAGTCCTTTGGTTCCCAACCCTGGCTGCATTGGAATTACCTGGGAAGCTTTAAAATACGTGCATCGTCTAGGTGAGTTCTTACTCATGTAGGCGTAGTACTTCACAATGGATCAAACAAACAAAAAGCAGAATGATAGATTGACGATGGATACAGGGAAAGAGCTATATACCAAGGCCTGGATTCTGCTTCCAGTAATTTTCATCTAGTTGGTATGGTTTGGGGCCCAGGAACTGGAAGGTTTGGTGTTTTGGATAAAGCTTCCTAGGTAAAGAACGCCAAGCTGAGATGATTTCAGGCAGAGAGAATGCAAGTGGGTGGAGACCACAAGGTAGCCCATTTGGGCTCAGTAGAAGAACCAGTTTGCCTTTAAAACAAACTAAAACAGGTTAGAGTTGGTGTGTTAGTTTCTATTCTGCTGTGACAAACAGCCACAAGCTTAGTGGCTTAAAGCACCAGTTATAATGTGATATTTCTGTAGACTTGAAGTCTGCGGTGGGTCTAAAATCAGGGCGTCAACAGGACTGTTGCATTTCTTTCCAAAGACTCTAGGGGAAAATTCATTCCTTCTAGAAGTTTTCTAGAAGTTACCTGCATTCCTTGCCTCCTGTTTCCCTTCCTCCATCTTTGAAGCTGTGAAGGTCACATCTTGAAAATTCCCAAAAGTCTCAACCCATTCTTCTGTAATCACATCTCCTTGTGACTATTCTTCAGTTCTAATGACCCTTATAATTGTATGGGCCCACCTGAATAATCCAGAACCATCCCCTGATTTTAGGGTTAGCTGATCAGCAATCTTAATTCCACGTGCTGCCTTAATTCCCTTTTGCCATGCTGCATATTGACGGAGTTCGGCATCAGATCATAGACATCCTTGGGGGATATTATTCTTCCTGTCACAAAAGGATCCACAATGCCTTGAACTAGATACAACAAAAAGCACAAACCACAAAGGAAAAGACAGGTAAAGCCAACTGCATTAAAATTCAGAACTGTATTCATTAAGAGCTACTATAAAGAGAATAAGAAGATAAACCACAAACTGAAAGAATACAGGTGCTACATGCTTAATATTCAAAACACATAAAGAACTCCTACAAGTCAATAAGAAAAGACAAATACTGAAGGAAAATGAACAAGGGAATTGTATAGGAACTTCATCAGAAGAACATATCCATAGGCCCTAGGCCCATAAACACGTGAAAACATATTTATGCTCTTTCACCTAATCACACAAATAACAATATTTGAAATACCTAGACTGGCAAAGATTAAAAAGTTGGGCGATCTAAGTATTGGCAAGGCTGTGGAGCAATAGGGAGTCCCACCCACAGCTGGAGGGAGCACAAGTTGGAAACCACTTGTGGAAAATATTCGGGTCTTACCTAGTAAAATCTCACG